ACACAACATTTCCTCGAGGAAGGTCGCAACAGTAGTCAGTTTTTTCACTGATGATGGAATCGAACACAAGCGAACAGATATTGATAGAGGGAGGAACAAAAGTGGAGTACTATTCTTTTTTTAATTCTGTACTGCTTTGACTTACGAAAAGTTATCAGAAAGGTCATCGCTCGTTTTAATTCTAAACCGAGGCTGAGGTAATGCACTCGAAAGCTGATCTGGTCGTCATCTGGGCTCAAGTTTTTACTTCCCTCCTCATTCTGCAAATGTTGCAGTGATTTCTATAAATCCGCCATTTCTCTTATACATTGGTTTGTAAGTGGTCTCCTAAATTATTCTCCAAAACTGTTTCTTTAACACTAGGTACAATACAAGCGATGTTCTCATTCTTTCAGAACGTGTTCGTAGTCTTTTCACACGTAAGTGCTTTTATCAGGCTTTTCTCATCGCACAATGAATTACATAGCAATAACTCCGCCAGTGGCCAGTGTTCTTGCTCCCATTTCCTTCCTATGAATCGATATTTGAAAATCTCACCCGCTTTTACCAAACCCGGCCGAGGTCGCTTTGGTTTTGAAATACGCACCGAGGAGTGTTACGTGAGCTCTGTGAGGCGACAAACCTTAGTACTTCATTTCTGTGTGCGCTAGGAGCTGTTCTTTCAAATCCGAGACTCTTCACTTCCTTATTAAAGTTACTCATTCCCACTCTGATCCGTTACCCTGGTTTCAAACACTTATCCTTTGGAAGTTTTAGCGCGTAGGCTTTCTGGAGAAAAACAGCGATTGACTTGTCGAAGTTCATCACGTCGAGACTGCACCTTGACGTGATGTGATGGCTTGCGTGCCTCCATGACCCTGCGAGCTACACACGATGGCTTTTCACAGCCGTAGATCAAATCGTGCCTGAAAGGTAGAGGCCAGACGAAGCTCAGTCTCACAAAGCTAGCTTCTTGGGCACCCTCTGGCTTCTTTTTTCTATCCACACCCGCCCCTGGAGAGGTCACTCCAGTAAATAAACACGGTGAGAGGCAGTTTACCGGTCGAGAAACCCGCTAGATGGACGTAGGAGCGGGGTACCTAGGACCTCCTCTCGACGGTGAGAGAAGTCTTCGTACTTCATTGGAGAGCTACCGCCCGCCCAAGCTGGGCAGCCCCCAGCCAATAAGATGCTGACCCGTCCCCGTTCCGCTTGTGTCATTGGGTGCA